GCGGCTCCCCCCCCCCCCCCCGCCTCCCTTCCTCTCCTTCCTCCGTCAGCCAGCGTTTGGCTGCTCCCTCATGCCGAGGGGAGAGGGGAGTGCTTTTTGTTTTCTTTTCTGAAATTTATTTTTGGTATAGGGCATGAGCGCTTCCTGGAGAGACAGAGACAGAGAGATAAAGTGAGAGGTCACTGCAGGGGCTGGCCAGGTGCGGTCTCCTCTATCCTCACGACTTTGGGCACACACACGTGACTGGCATGAGTTTCAAGCTGCCAGGTCTGAGACTCGAGCCACGGAGGGCCATGTGGGAGTCCACGGCCACGTAACCACTACACCATCTGGCCCCTCTTTCCTTTCCTTTCCTTTTAAAAACGTGTTTGCTATACTGGAGAGAGGGAACTGGGGAGTGAAAAGGCACCATACTGCAACCCCTTCCCCCATTCTCTCAGCGTTTGAGGCCAGACGCACACGCTCAGCGTGGTGACCCTAACTGCACCATGGCCATCCGGCCGCCTTAACCACCGTGCCACCAGCTGGCCCAGCCATGTTCTCATTTAATGTGACATTTGGTTTAAGTCCCCAGCCCCATCTCACCACTTCACCCCGCAGGGCTCTCAGGGCTTCCTGCAGGTGTCCCAGGGCACAGCCCAAGGCCAGCGCCTGCTTGCCCTCGGAGCTCCCCTCCCTAGGGCGCCTGCTTGCCCTCGGAGCTCCCCTCCCTAGGGGCTCACCCCACCGTCAGCCTCGGCCGTCTGGTCTGTCCCTTCTGTTCCTCTTTCCCCAGGTCACATTCACCGACATCGGCCTGACAGCAAGGGACAACGAGGGGGCCACAGTCCTCCACTTCGCAGCCCGAGGGGGCCACACGCCCATCCTAGACCGACTCCTGCTCATGGACGCCCCCATCATGAGGGACTCCTGGGGTGGGACCCCCCTGCACGACGCAGCCGAGAACGGGCAGTTGGAGGTGAGACGGGCAGGCATGGCGGGAGGCTTGTGCAGCCAGGGGCTCCGTCAGTGTGCCCTAACCCCCTCCAGCCCGCAGGGTGGTGTTAACACTGCCCTCAGATGTGCCAATGGAGGCCCAGGCAGGCTCAGTGCCCGAGGTCAAGTGCAAAACCAACGACATGCCTCCAAACTCCATGCGTGGCGTCCTCCCGTCTGCAGAAGCCCCTGCGCAGGGCCCCAGGAGGGCCCTTGGCTGCCGGACCCTCAGCCATGAGCGCCCTGTGAGCAGGCCAGGGCACGATGTCAGCCCTTTGCCAGCATCTGCATAAATCTTGGGGCTCGCGCGGCCTGTCTCTAGAAACCCAGCATAGGCAGCGTGGGTCGAATGTGTCGTTTCCATCAGAACCATGTCCCCTTGGGAATTGGAGAGAGCCCACCTCGACCTCGTCTAAGTCCATGTCTCAGGGCAAGGCATGGGTCCACACGGGGGAGGGTTGCGGAGATGAGCCGCAGGCCTGGCGGGAGAGGGTCTGCAAATATCCTGCTGCGTCAAAAGGACCTGCGAGGCGGCGACTGGATGGGTCAGGGGTGCGTGGGAAGAGAGGCCTCTGGGGTGTGGGTCTGGGCAGGGCCGAGAGCTGCCTCCCCTGCAAGCAGCTGGTGCCAAAGGAGCTCTGAGCTCAGTGCCGTGTGCCACAGCCATAAAGGGCAGGCCGGCCCGGGTCAGGGTTTGGAAGCCGCAAAGGCTTTTCCAAGTGAGACGTTCGGTGGGAGCCCGAGACCTTCAGCAGCTCAGGCAGGTGCTCGGCTCCTCCCGCCACGATAGGAAAGTAAAACTGGAGCCTCAAAGCAGAGAACTTTGCTCTTTTTAACTCATTTTATTATGGCATTTAAAGCACCGGGCGCATTTCAGGCCAGCCTCGTGGTGCAGTGGTTGAGACTGCAGAGTTAGTGGGACACGTGACAGGCCAGAGTTGGAGTCCTGCACCGGCGTGGTGGCTTGGAAAACACCGAGGGCATGTGACCAGGCGCTTGCACGCTCTCTCTGTATCGCTCTCGCTCTCTGTCTCTGTGTCTCTTTCATGTACGCTCTTACAGTTTCTGCCATTAACAGAATATGTGTGTGTCATCAGCAACTCTAGGCTAAGCTCATTTTGTCTTTTCTTTTTTTTTTTTTAAGAGGTTTTCACTATAGGGCACGTGCGCCTGCCAGAAAGACAGAGAGACAGAAAGCGAGAAATCACCCCCCCGGGTGGATGGCCACGCCGCAATCCCTTCTCCTCCATTCTCTCAGAATCTTGGGCACGCACGCACACGCACCAGGAGTAAGTTTAAGCCACCGGGTCCGAGAATCGAACCACGGTCAACTACATGGGAGTCCAGTGACGTAGCCATTACACCAATTGCTGGTCCCTAAGCTCATTTTGTCTTTACTGCCACCCCACCTTGTCATTTAGAGCAAATCAGAGATGTCACATTATCTTACCATAAGTACTTGTTTTTCTTTGTTTTGTTTTGTTTCTAGTTTTTGCTATAGGACACCTTGCCAGACAGACAGAGATGGGGGAAAGAGAAATCACCCCTAGGGGCCATGGCCACGCTGCAATCCCTTCTCCTCCAGTCTCCTCTGGGTGTGAAAGCACACACGCACACGCCGACATGATTGTCAAGCTCTGGGACTCAAACCGTGCAAATGGTCACGCAGGATCCAGTGCCTTAACCCCCGCGTCACCTGCTGTCCCACCCGGAAGTACTTTTGTAGACATTCCTAGACATGAAGACTCCTTTCCTTTTTAAATCATAACCTCAGACCGTTATTGCATCTGAAAAGCAATTCACAGTCGTTCCTTAGCAACACCTCCACCCCTGTCAGCCTGACACTTAAAGGGGCCATGGCCACGCGTGTGGTGCCCCGCCTCCCTAGGGGTGTGGTGCCTTCCCAGTTACAACCCCGATGTTACAGATTTAACCCGCAGCACTTCAGAGATACGCTTTGTCCAGGAAAGGTAGGGTAATGCTCTGCCCCCCATAGGGCACGTGTGCTCACTGGAGAGAGACCGAGAGCCAAGGAGAAAGGGAAAGTGAGCAATCGCCCCCCTGCCCCGGGAGGATGGCCACGGCCCAATCCCTTCTCCTCCACTCTCCTCCTGGAGTTTTGGTCATGCACACGCACATGCCTAGTGTGATGTTCAAGCCACCAAGTCCAGGACTTGAACTGCGGTGAGCCATGTGGGAGTCCAGCACCTTAAACATGGCGCCACCTGCTGGCCCAGGATAATGCTCGCTCCTTCCCCTGTCCTTTCATATCTTGTTCTAGAACAGTTGGAACAGTTGTAAATTTGTGAAAAAATCGAGAAAGAGCACAGATAGTTCCCATATGCTCCATGTTCTCTGTCCCCAATTGTTAATGACATCCATGACAGCCATTGGTCACAACCAACAAGCCCGAACTGACCTGCTGCTGTCAGCCACACCCACACGTCGCTTGGGTTCCCACTAGCTCGTACCTAATGTCGTTTTCTCTCCCAGAATCCCACCCAAGACCCCACGTGACCATTAATCATCAAATCTCCTTAGATTCCCCTCGACTGTGATGACTTTTTCCCCATTAAAAAAAAACTTCAGGGCCAGCATGTGGTATGGTGGCTAAGACGCTGGACTCCCACATGGCCAACCACGGTTCGAGTCTCAGACATGGTGGCTTTCTTTCTCACTTTCCCTCTCTCTCTGTCTCTCTTTGGTGAGCACACATCCCTATAGCAAATTTTAAAAATTAATAATAAATTAAATAATTTTTAAAAATAAAAACTAAAAAAACACTTCAAAACGAGACAGTTCTCTACAACCCTCTAACTCCTCCACCTCCTTACAAAGACCAAACAAAAGGACTGGGGCTGAAAAACAGCAGCACAAGGGACCAGCAGTTGGTGTAATGGCTACACCACTGGACTCCCATGTAGTCAACTGCAGTTCGAGTCCCAGACCTGGTGGCTTAAAACTCATGCTTGCGTGTGTGCATACATGCCCAAGATCCTGAGAGAATGGAGGAGAAGGGACTGTGGTGTGACCATCCCCCCTGGGAGGTGATTTCTTGCTTTCTGTTGCTCTGTCTGTCTCTGTCTTTCTGGCAAGCACATGTGCCCTATAGCAAACACCTCTCCAAAATAAATAAGTAAATAAATTTTGCTAGAGGTGCACGTGCTCACTGGAAGGAGAGGCAGAGGGGAAGTACAAAAGCACCCTCCGGGTATTTGACCACATTGCAACCCCTTGTCCATTCTCCTCTTGAGATTTTGGGCACGTATGTACATGTGCCTGGCGTGTTTTTCAAGCCACCATGTTTGCGACTTGAACTGTGCGTTGGCCATGTGGGATGCAGGCACCTTCGCCACCATGCCACTAATCGGCCCTGATTATTTTTAGTATGTGTTATGTTTCAGGGCCAGTCTCATAGCCTAGTGGTTAAGGGAGCCACATCCCACATGGCCAACTGCAGTTTAAGTCCTGGCCCCAGCAGCTTGGAAACATGCCAGGCACATGCATGTGCATATATGCCCAAAATCCTGATGCACAAATGGAGGAGAAGAGATTGTGCACACGTCACCGGAGGACACTTTCTCCCCTTCTCTCTCTCCTCTGTCTCTGAGGTGAGCACATATTCCCTCTGACAATTAAAAAACTATACAGTGTGAGTTATGTTTCAATATATCACAGTCTTCCTAATTTGAATGATATTAATTAATGATTACTTTCTTTAAATTTTTAATTATAATTTAAAACATACAAAATTTACCATCATAACTTTTTTTTTTTTTTTTTGCTATAGGGTGCATGAGCTCACCAGAGACAGAGAAAGAGAATGAGAAGGCCGGCAGGTGGCATGGTGGTTAAGGGTGCTGGACTCCCACATGGCCGACTGCAATTTGAGTCCCAGTCCCGGAGGCTTGCTTTCTCACTTTCCCTCTCTTTCTCTTTTACTCTGTCCCTCTCTGGTCAGATTTAAATAAATAAACAAACAAATAAATAAATAAAATAAGGTCAAATAAAATAATTCCTTAAATAAAAAGAGAGTGAGAAAGGGAAAGTGAGAAAAACCACCCCTGGGAGGATGGCCATGCCACAATCCCTCCTCCATTCTCTTCTTGGGATTTTGGGCACACACACATGCACCCAGCATATTTTTCAAGCCATCAGATCTGGGACTCAAGTTATGTGGTCGGCCATATGGGGCCCATCCACCATAACCTCCAGGCCATCTGCTGGCCCAGCCACCCTAAGGAAGTGTACGTTGAGCGGTGTTAAGTGTACTCACACTGTTATGCAGTAGAGCTCAGAGCTTGCTCATCTTGCAGAACTGAAACTGCAATCGCACACAGCTTCCAGTCCCTCATCCCAGACCCGGGCACCCACGCTCCCTCCTCTGTCTCTGTGTCCTTGTTACTTCAGCTGCCTCGCAGAAGTGGACCCTACAGTGGCCCCATCTTCATGACGGCCTTACTCCCCTCAGCCTATCTCCTCAAGGTCCACCCAAGTCATAGCCCATGTCAGACCCCCTTTGTGAGAGGGAATGCTATTTGCTGTCTGTATGTACCACATTGTCTTTACCCACCCACCCACTAATGGGTGTTTGGGTGCTTCTGCCTTCAGGCTATTGTGACTTCTGCTACAAGCAAGGTGTGCCAATCCCTCTTGAAGGTCCTGCTTTCAGCTCTTTTGGGTATATTTTCAGAGGGAGAATTGCTGGATTTACACTGTTTAAATGTTAAACCAACCTTGCATTCCTGGCATAAATTCAACTTGGTCATGACCTACTATTCATTTGACACGGAGCTCAATTTAATTCCTTAATGTTGTTGAGGATTCGGGCCTTTACATTCTTGAGTAAAATTGGCCTGTAAGACCCTTTTCCCATTCTGTCCTTGCGGAGTTTTGGTATCAAAGGCATGCTATGAATTACAAAGTGTTTCTTCTTTTTCTACATTTTGGGGCATCTTGGTTACATTGATGCATTCCTTCTTC